GCCGCCAATAAGGCTTGAGACAAGGACCAAACCAGGCCCTGACTTGTGCCTCCTTTAAAGTCCGAATAACCTAACAAAAGGTTTAGGACGGGAAAAGTTGAGTAGCACTGAGAAAGGGTCCATGCTATGTGTTCTGCGCTCGCCTACGTGACTTCCCACACGCTTGCTAAACAAATGAGAACAATTCGGTTGGGGTCAAAAGTTCGTTGCTGGGGGTGCCTGGGTGTCTCAGTGGGTTAAAGCCTCTGCCTTCGGCTCAGGTCATGATCTCAGGGTCCTGGAATCGAGCCCCGAATCCGGCTCTCTGCTCAGCAGGGAGCCTGCTTCTTCCCTCTCTCTCTGCCTGCTTCTCTGCCTACTCGTGATCTCTCTATCAAATAAATAAATAAACTATTTAAAAAAAAAGTTCGTTGCTGGTCCTTGCTGCCCTAATACTGCTCATAAATTACTTTCAGGTTTGTTGTATCAATACAGAACAATTGTACTAGCATCAGCCATTTGGTGTCACGAGGTCTGCTTATAGTTAAATGTGAAACTTATTATGGGAACTCGTGGTTGTTTAACTAGACACAGGTTTATTGCTTCTATTATCACTATATATATGGCCTTAGTGGTTTGAATAAACAGCACTGTTGGACATCCTCCTCAGTGTTCCTCCTGCCCCCATCTCTTTGTCTCTTAAGTTCTTTTCACCATCCTCTTACCTTCACGTTCCTGGTCGATTTGTCGCCCCAGCCACGACAAGTGGCACCTGAACAGGGACCTGAGAACATTTCAAGGGAGCGTGCATATACAGGTAAGTAGTTATAAAGATTCAGGTAAGAGGAGCCAGGTTGTCAGGTGCCAGCAGGAGTAAAATAACATGGGGCAATCTCATTCTTTGGAACACGATCTTTTTGTTACTGCATTGCAGGCTATTATGAAGCAAAAAGGGTGCAAGGTCTCTAAAAGGGCCTTGCAGATAATTATGTAAATAAGCCTTCTTCTAGTATACCAGGTTGCTGGGCCATCCCTAGTGAAGGGGAATCTGACTTTCTCTCTCTGTGTTCCTCCTAATAACCCTTTCTCTGCCTCCTAGCAGCACTTTGTTTCTTCTGTCTCCCCCTTCTCCTATTTCTGCACCAACATACATGCAGCCTGTATGACTAGCCTTTAGATCATGCACCATGGCTCCTTCTCTTTTCACTGTCAATGAGCAAGAAGAGCACCCACTAGACCTAATGCCCCCCACTCCAGATCTCGTGTCTCAGGTAAACATTCAAAGTGGAGTGGGCCCAGGTGGAACGTAAATCAGTATTGGAACTAAGCTAAGTTTGTTGGTTTAATTAAGATAGACATGTCTTTGAAGTTACAGCAGTAAATGTGAAGCTTTTATTCTATCAAAGTTTACTGAAGGTCAAATAAGCTCATGTTATTTGTTAAAATCTGTTAGCAAAGAAATTACTAAACTTATAGTTAAAAGTCTTTAGTAACCTAAAAGTTTAAAATTTTGGTTGGATGACAAATGTAATTAAATTATGGACATCTAGGTCTTAACCAAACAGGGTAAAATGCTAAGTTATTAATTACTAAACATAGGTTTGTACTTTCGACTTCTTACAACAAAGAAAATAAGAATAATTAAATCTGTTGGTAAACATGTTTTATGCTTAACTGATTCATAAATTGGCACCTAAAGAAATCTGTTGCGACAGTTCACAATTGGTTAATACTTAGTCTTCACTAGAGATTAAGGTGTTTCTAAGAGTACAAAATTCTAACTGTAAGACTGATAAAAAATAAACAATATTTTATTAAAGATAAAAGGTAATTTTGTCCTAAATAAGATGGTTGTTTGGAAGAAAATGGCTTGGGACAAAACCTAAATGCAAAAGAAAGTTGTAGAAGGTTTATGAAGGGAAACCTTCAGAAAAGGAGAAAAAGACCAGATGCCTGATCCTGTCCTCTGCAGAGGATGCGGTTTTCTTTGTGTTTTTCCACAGGATGAGGACACCCCATGCTGGATGCCAGAGAGATGGTGCCGCCTCCTCACCCCTGAGGCAACAAATTGCAACACTGACCCTGAGTCGGAGAAATCAGCAGAGGAGAAGAAGACATCTTCCCCCTTACAGCCGGAGGGATGTTTCATGCAGAACTCTGGAAACTGGTTGCTGCCCTGGGACCAATCGGAGTGTAAATAGCCAGGAGTGGTTATACTGCCACAAAAGACTTCAATCTGACTTTGCGGGTCTGTGTTCCTAGACCTTTTTTACTGGTAGTGGGCTCGGGATCAATAGTTCTCACCTCTTTCCAAGGGGAACATCTATTGTATAATATCCATTGTGACCATTGTGTGTTAACAAATTGTGTACCTGTGTCCCTGCCTTCGTCAGGCACAGGTCCCATGATAGTGTTTGTAACTATGCAACCTCCATATATGTTATTACCTGTGGAAGTAGAAGGACCTTGGTATGCTAATTATGGTTATCAGTTTGCCCTTGAATTGCAGTTGCAGCTCAAACGATTCAAACGTTTTCTGGGTCTATTCCTGGGTCTAGCAGGAATAGCAGCACTAGTAACACTCATTCTCGTTGTTTACTGGACTCATTATATTACCTGCTTTTGTTTTAATATGGTGCATTGTACAGATTCGTACTAGGACAGCAACGATTACATGCGCAAGCACAAATTCATATGCTTGACTTATTTAAAAAAGGAAGGGAGAGATGTGGGAGGCCACAATAAGGCTTGAGACAAAGACCAAACCAGGCCCTGACTTGTGCCTCCTTTAAAGTCTGAATAACCTAACAAAGGGTTTAGGATGGGAAAAGTTGAGTAGCACTGAGAAAGGGTCCGTGCTATGTATAGTGTGCTCGCCTATGTGACTTCCCACACGCTTGCTAAACAAATGAGAACAATTCAGTTGGGGTCAAAAGTTCGTTGCTGGTCCTTGCTGCCCTAATATTGCTCATAAATTACTTTCAGGGTTGCTGTATCAATACAGAACAATTGTACTAGCATCAGCCATTTGGCGTCACAAGGTCTGCTTATAGTTAAATGTGAAACTTATTATGGTTGTTTTACTAGACACAGGTGTATTGCTTCTATTATCACTATATATATGGCCTTAGTGCTTTGAATAAACTTAGCACTGTTGGACATCCTCCTCAGTGTTCCTCCTGCCCCCATCTCTTTGTCTCTTAAGTTCTTTTCACCATCCTCTTACCCTCACGTTCCTGGTCGATTTGTCGCACTGGCCGCGACACAATGGGAAAAAGACTGTCTTCAAAAAATGCCATTGGGAAAACTAGTAATCTACATGCAAAATATTAAAAGCAAAAATAAACTACTGGGACTTCATCAAAATAAAAAGCTTCTGCACAGCAAAGGAAACGATCAATAAAACAGCCTATGGAATGGGACAAGATATTTGCAAATGACATATTGATAAAGCGTTAGGATCCAAAATTTATAAAGAACTTATAAAACTGAACATTTAAAAAAATGGGAATACATGGCTAGACATTTTTTTCCCAGGAAGACAAATAGATGGCCAAAAGACACATGAAAAAATGCTCAATATCACTAGTCATCAGGGAAATACAAATCAGAACTACTATGAGATACCACTTCACACTAGTTGGAATGGCTAAAATTACAACACAAGAAACAACAGGTGTTGACGAGGATGTGGAAATGGGGAACCCTCTTACAGTGTTGGTGAGAAGGCAAAGTGGTGCAACCACTCTGGAAAACCATACGGAGGTTCCTCAGAAAGTTCAAAATAGAACTACCCTATGATCTAGGAACTGTGCTACTGGGTATTCACTCAAAGAATATAAAAATACTAATTCAAAGGATAAATGCACCCCAGTGTTTATAGCAGCACTTGAATATATGTCAAAATATGGAAAGAGCCCAAATGTCCATCAACTGATGAATGGATAAAGAAAATGTGATATATACACAATGGAATATTACTTAGCCATCAAAAGGAATGAATTCTTCCCATTTGTAATGGCATGGTTGGAGCTAGAGAGTACTACACTAAGCCAAATAAGTCAGTCGGAGAAAGACAAACACCATATGACTTCACTCATTTGTGGAATTTAAGAAGCCAAACAAGTGAGCATGGGGGGAAAAAGAGAGGTAAACCAAGAATAGACTCTTAACTGTAGAGAACAAAGTGATAGCTATCAGAAGAAAGTTGGGTAGGGGTAGGTTAAATAGGTGATGGGGATTAAGCATTGCATTTGATGAGCAACTGATGTTGCATGGAAGTATTGAATCACTATATTATACATGTGAAACTACTATCGCACTGTATGTTAATGAACTGAATTTTAAATAATTTAAATAAAACTTTAAAAATTACTAGACATGTAAAAAGCGAAAAGATGTCACGCATAACCAGGTTAATATTTTTTCATTAGGAATACATGTAGAGGAAGAAACAAAGGGTGGCAAAGAGGGAATGCTGGAAAATACCCAGCCAAGATTTAAAAGATGAGAAGAAAAAGGACCTGAAAAGAGTCACTTGAAAGTTTTAACACAAGATTTTAGAAAAATCACAAGATGTTGAATCACAGAAGTCACATAGGGAGAAAGTTTCAAAAAGGAGGGAGTAGTCAACAAGGAGATCAAGCCAGATAGACTGTGAAAACCATCCACTGTGAATACCTTCAAAACTTTAAGCAAGACAGACTGTGAGAACTATCTGCTGTGAATATCTGCTGTGATACCTTCTAAGCCTGGCAAAAGTAGTTCCAGTGGAGAGGGTGGGGTAGAAGCCCGACTGCAAAGGTTCTCAAGTGTCAATATGATGTGGTAAAGGAGAAATGCTAGTTGTTTCTATGCAAGATTGTCTCTGAGCCAGGGTAGGCAAATATGTGTATATTTTTCTTTTGAAAGTATTTCTTAAACATTCTACAACCTTTTTTAGCAATGTCTCCTTTCTCTTTTCGTCACATTTATTTTTAATACACAATTTCCAATAAGAATTATGAAATTAAAATTGTTACCAAAAAAGGCATTCAGCAGCTTCTGAACCTGAATGTTGCTGCCCACAGTACGGTACAATCCTTCTGTCTTGATCCCTAGGGAAAGAAATTGAGGTCAGTTGTTTCCACAGCTACAGCTTTCATTTCCCTCAGGGTAGAGAAAGTAGGTACTTACATCCTAGTCAGTTCAAACAGAAAAGTGTCTCCCTACCCTCTCCAAGCTCTCCAGCCTTCCCCTGCAATAGGGGAACAGTTTTGAAACCTCTCTCCAAACTCTTCTCTCTATACTTTCATTTGGATTATACCAAAATTTCATTAATATGAACAGAAGAGAATATACTCTATAGTAAAAAGAAAAATATGCTTAGGTGGGTAGCAGCGGGTGGCTGGGAAAAGTGCCACCATCTTGGAAGGGAGCTAGGGTTTAATTGAAAAAGGAGGAAATACCAATCTCCAAGTTGCCCCGTGAGCAGTGATATAAAGGAAGAAAGCGATGGACTATGGCATATAGGAAACAGAGAGGCTTGGCTCATATACTACCTGCCTACATTCTAAATATTCTCAGAGAGAGACTGGAGAGAGTTTTTTAAGGATTTTATTTATTTATTTGAAAGAGAGAGAGAGATCACAAGTAGGCAGAGAGGCAGCCTGAGAGAGAGGGAGAAGCAGGTTCTCTGTTGAGCAGAGAGCCTGATTTGGGGCTCAATCCCAGGACCCTGAGATCATGACCTGAGCCGAAGGCAGAGGCTTAACCCACTGAGCCACCCAGGTGCCCCTAAACTGATATGTATTATGGTAGAAATTGAACTCTTATTTATTTGTGATGGAATGGTAAAAACACTACTTGAGGAGTGTTCAGTATTATTTTAGAATATCTTATAAGACGTTGGAAGCTCTTTCTCTTTATTTTTTTGAAATACAAGAGGCTGTACATATTTAATACATACAACTTGGTGAGTCTGGAGATAAGTGAAACCATCACCACAATCTACCCATCACATACCCATCACCTCTGAAACTTTCCTGCAGCCCTCCTTATTCATTATTTTTTTGTGATAAGAGCTCTTAACATAAGATCTACAATCTTAGCACATTTTAAAGTCTGCAATACAGTATTGTTAACTACAGCTTTATGCTGTACACCATATCTCTAGGACACAATTATCCTGTATAACTTAGAACTATGTACCATTTGATTAATTAAACTCTTTCTCTTTAAATGCAGGAAACCACAAATTATCCCAATATGCTTGGATACCACTGGCTTGAAATTTGCTGGAATTTTAGAAATTTATGCCTAGTGTTCCAGGTTTATAAATCGTCTTTATCGCTAAAATGAGTTCTGACCAACAACACCATTGCTAATTTTAGGAAATTGTCCTTGAATAAATTCAGAGTGACCAAATTCAAACACCGCCAATACTCTGGTTCATTTCTTACCTTTGGTCTCAATGACATTGATGCACTTCCTAACAAACTTGAACCCCAATTCATTCAGCTCCACTGTTTGAAACAAAGGAAAACAGAGTTAGATCCTGCTATAACAAGCTTTACCCACCAAACATTTATTGATCATGCTAGGAGACTGCAGTGAGAGACTAAGGGGTATGGTTTTTCATCTCTAATACCCTTAAATAGAAATATTTTTCCCCTTAAAAGAGTTTTTTACTCTTCTAACACAAAACGATGTTACTGATCTCTTTGCATTGTTTATTTTAGGCATGAGCAACATCAAACATAAAATATTAGGGTAGAAATGCACATAATTTCTATCATGTGTTTAGAATAAGAAAGATACAATGTTCTTCTCTATATTACTATTACTACCTATACCATAAGCTAAGATAAAGTGACTTCCTTATTTCACTAAGTAGACATATTAAAAAAAAAGGTATAAATTTTATTCCACACAGAGTCATCAACAAACACATTTGCGTCAGTATTAGAGAATATTAACTGATTAGGACAGCGAGCAGTTTGTAATGTCAATAGATTACAAATTTGACTCACTTTCTTCCTGTTTTGTTATGGGGCTGTGGTAGATCTACAAAAGAAGAAAAGAAAAAGCCATGGCTATTGTCAATCACTATAGGTAAGTGTGGCAAATAATACTAATCTCTTTCCCCAGGTAGTCCATCAAAACCATTAGTGACTCCGAAGCTTTAATAAGATGAAAAACTGGGCTAAACAGAATCTTTGCCTAGGTCCCCAGAAAACACTTGGATTAACAATCTTTGAAGCAGATTCCAAGTAGCTCACTGCATCTGAAGTTGTAGCCTACACATCTTAGAAATTTACTTATGTAAAGCTTGGAGAATTTTTCTGATAGAGCAAAAGAGCATGCGAGAAAAGAAACAGTTTTCTTTTTTTTTTTTAAATTTTATTTTTTATAAACATATATATTTTTTCCCCAGGGGTACAGGTCTGTGAATCGCCAGGTTTACACACTTCACAGCACTCACCATAGCACATACCCTCCCCAATGTCCATAATAACCCCACCCCCCCTCTCCCAACCCCCCTCCCCCCAGCAACCCTCAGTTTGTTTTGTGAGATTAAGAGTCACTTATGGCTTATCTCCCTCCCAATCCCATCTTGCTTCATTTAAATGAAGAAACAGTTTTCTAATGGATGCATGGCTAATGGGCATTGGCAGTAAAATGTAAATACTTCCAATACCAACCTCCTACCCCAAAGGCTAAGTAATGGGTGTTTCTCTGTAGAAAAGCAAGTGTCCAGCTGAAAGACACCCCTGCACTGATCAAGATTTGTCCGAGTCATATTGAAGAACACACTGAGAGCTACATGAGAGACAAAAGGGGAGATCCTCGACAAAGTCTAGTCCTGGCTCCACCTCTACCACATTAGGATATCTCGGGCATGTCCTTTTCATCTCTATACTTCAAGATTCGTATCTCTAAAATGATGAGGATTGGAGCAGATGTCCCTTCAAGTCCTGATCTTCTTTGACACTTTAAACAAAGGCATGTATACCACATCTAAGATTAGTGAATTGGGGTGTTTAGTAAATCAGCAAGAATAATAATGTGAAACTGCAGGAAGTAAGCCTTCTATATGGTATTTGTTAGTCTGCTTTAACAATCTCTCCTTTTATTTATTTTTTAAAGATTTTATTTATTTACTTGACAGAGATCACAAGTAGGCAGAGAGGCAGTCAGAGAGAGAGAGGAAGGGAAGCAGGCTCCCTGCTGAGCAGAGAACGCAATGTGGGGCTCAATCCCAGGACCCTGAGATCATGACCTGAGCCGAAGCCAGAGGCTTAACCCACTGAGCTACCCAGGTGCCCCAGCAATCTGTCCTTTTTTTTTTTTAAAGATTTTATTTATTTATTTGACAGAGAGATCACAAGCAGGCAGAGAGGCAGGCAGAGAGAGAGGAGGAAGCAGGCTCCCTGCTGAGCAGAGATCCCGATGCAGGGCTCGATCCCAGGACTCTGAGATCATGACCTGAGCCGAAGGCAGCGGCTTAACCCACTGAGCCACCCAGACGCCCCTCAATCTGTCCTTTTAAAAGAAAATTATCTGCATATGTGTGTATGCCCATGGACATTTCAATGAGGGAGATTTCTGTGCTGACCAGCCCTAGCTGCCACTTTTATTAACAAGCTATTTGCGGAAACACTATCAAAGTCAAGTTGTTAAGGATCAACATTTAGTGAACACATATTCTAATGTCATTCTCCACAAAAAGCCATCTGCATCCTTCAACCTCTAAAACCTAAAGAGAGAACAAATTTAAAAGAGGGAATCAAGAATAAAATGCCCTGCTGAGCCTCCTACCATCTTCCTAGAGAAACATCAGAGGCATGCAATAGTTAAGCTCGAGGTTTCTGGGAAAGAGGGAGAGACAGGTCATGGACTACTTTCTGTATGCCAGTCCTCACAGTACCACTTCCCTCCTGCTACCTTCTTGATTGCTATAAGTGCAGTCTGAGATCTGACCACTCCTCTTTAGTCTCGAGGGCACTGAGGAGACAGAGAAAGAAAACCCTGGGGTGTGTTTTCCCTCTTAACACATTTTTGCCTTGAATAAAACAAGAATATTAGACTATATTCAAATATTATTGAATCGCAGTAGCTTTGCACTCATTCTTCAGCCCAGTTAGAAGCACCTAAAACTAATACAGCACATTATGGTTGACAGACTTCCCATTCATTTGATTTTTCAAAGCAATTCTGTGAGTTAAGTGGAACAGAGATTATTAAACCCATTTTACTGAAGAGAAGAAAACTGAATCTCAGCTAGAATAACTTGCTTGAAGTCACACAACCACTGAAGAGCACAACTAGGATCCAAATTCAGGCTTTTGGAATTCCAACACTAGGAAGGTAATATTAGTTCATATGCCACTAGAAGAAACCCACATGGAAGATACTGAAGAGAAAAAGTGTTTTTCACTCATTTCTGACTCCTCATATTGGTAATTCTACGATAGTCACTAAAACTTTTAAGGTATTGCTTGTCCTCCTGTGTAACAATGTTCTAAACAGACTGGTACATCTTGAAATACAGGATGACAGTACCATCTTCCCCACCAGCTGTACCCTTCAAGAGAATAAGCTGACTTGGGAATGTAAGATGGGGGCAGCAAAACCATTTTGAATAAAATCTTAACAAATGCTTATTCAATTATGACAATTATTTTCCATCTTTCTATACGAATACATATTAGTTTTATAAACTGAAAAAGCTTAATTTTCTTTTTTTTAAATTTCTTTTCAGCGTAACAGTATTCATTGTTTTTACACCACACCCAGTGCTCCAGGAAAAACATGCCCTCCTTAATACCCACCACCTGGCTCCCCAACCTCCCACCCACTGCCCCTTCAAAACCCTCAGATTGATTTTCAGAGTCCATAGTCTCTCATGGTTCACCTCCCCTTCCAATTTCCCTCAACTCCATTCTCCTCTCCATCTCCCTATGTCCTCCATGTTATTTGTTATGCTTCACAAATAAGTGAAACCATCTGATAATTGAATCTCTGTTTGACTACAAAAGTTGGGTATTCATCCTTTCTGATGGAGGCATAATACTCTATAGTGTATATGGACCACATCTTCCTTATCCATTCGTCCGTTGAAGGGCATCTTGGTTCTTTCCACAGTTTGACGACCGTGGCCATTGCTGCTATAAACATTGGGGTACAGATGGCCCTTCTTTTCACTACATCTGTATCTTTGGGGTAAATACCCAGTAGTGCAATTGCAGGGTCACAGGGAAGCTCTATTTTTAATTTCTTAAGGAATCTCCACACTGTTCTCCAAAGTGGCTGCACCAACTTGCATTCCCACCAACAGTGTAGGAGGGTTCCCCTTTCTCCACATCCTCTCCAACACACGGTTTCCTGTCTTGCTAATTTTGGCCATTCTAAGTGGTGTAAGGTGGTATCTCAATGTGGTTTTAATTTGAGTCTCCCTGATGGCTAGTGATGATGAACATTTTTTTCATGTGTCTGATAGCCATTTGTATGTCTTCACTGGAGAATGTTTGTTCATATCTTCTGCCCATTTTTTGATATGATTATCTGTTTTGTGTGTGTTGAGTTTGAGAAGTTCTTTACAGATCCTGGATATCAACCTTTTGTCTGTACTATCATTTGCGAATTCCTTTTCCCATTCCGTGGGTTGCCTCTTTGTTTTGTTGACTGTTTCCTTTGCTGTGCTGAGGATTTTGATCTTGATGAAGTCCCAAAAGTTCATCTTCGCTTTTGTTTCCTTTGCCTTTGGAGACATATCTTGAAAGATGTTGCTGTGCCTGATATCGAAGAGGTTACTGCCTATGTTCTCCTCTAGGATTCTGATGGATTCCTGTCTCACGTTGAGGTCTTTTAACCATTTTGAGTTTATTTTTGTGTATGGTGTAAGAGAATGGTCAAGTTTCATTCTTCTACATATAGCTGCCCAGTATTCCCAGCACCATTTATTGAAGAGACTGTCTTTTTTCCACTGTATATTTTTTTCCTGCTTTGTTGAAGATTATTTGACCATTGAGTTGAGGGTCCATATCTGGGCTCTCTACTCTGTTCCACTGGTCTATGTGTCTGTTTTTATGCCAGTACTATGCTGTCTTGGTGATCACAGCTTTGTAGTAAAGCTTGAAATCAGGTAACGTGATGCCGCCAGTTTTATTTTTGTTTTTCAACATTTCCTTAGCAATTTGGGGTCTCTTCTGATTCCATACAAATTTTAGGATTATTTGCTCCAGCTCTTTGAAAAATACCGGTGGAATTTTGATCGGAATGGCATTAAAAGTATAGATTGCTCTAGACAGTATAGACATTTTAACAATGTTTATTCTTCAGATCCAAGAGCATGGAATGGTCTTCCATCTTTTTGTGTCTTCTTCAATTTTTTTTCATGAGTGTTCTGTAGTTCTTTGAGTACAGATCCTTTACCTCTTTGGTTCATGGTGCTATAGTAAATGGAATCGACTCTCTAATTTCCCTTTCTGTATTTTCATTGTTAGTGTATAAAAAAGCCACTGATTTCTGTACATTGACTTTGTATCCTGCCATGTTACTGAATTGCTATATGAGTTCTTGTAGTTTGGGGGTGGAGTCTTTTGGGTTATCCACTTAATTTTCTTTCTTAAGAAGAAGATCATGTGAGCGGGACACCTGAGTGTCTCAGTGGGTTAAGCGTCTGCCTTCAGCTCAGGTCATGGTCCCAGCGTGCTGGGATCAAGTCCCACATTAGGCTCCTTGCTCAGTGGGGAACTTGTTTCTTCCTCTACCTCTGCCTGCCACTCCCCTGCTTGTGTTCTTTCTCTCTCTCTGGCAAATAGATAAATAAAATCTTTAAAAAAAAAAGATCTTGTGGGCACAGCTACATAATCTAACACTGAAGCAAGAAGCTCAGAAACATGGATTTTAGGCCCCACTGTTATGCCTTTTCTGAGAAATCCCAGAGAAGTCCCTCGCCCTCTTTGGAACTCAAAATAGCTTACTTTTTAAACAAGAAATGTCAAGTCAACAATTCCTTCTAGCTCTAAAATTTTGAATCTGACAATCTGACTATTTAATTGTCCTAGACCCAGTGAACCACTAAGGGCCCTCACACACTGTACTATGGTGCTGAGGTTTCTCTAGTATCCTGAGGCAACTTACAGGTTCTTTTCCATCCATGGCTTCCATCCATAGCCTTCTGTTAGCTTCTGAAAGGGCCTGCAAAGTGATGGTTCCTGGCCTAATGGGGGAAAAATGACAAGTTAAAAGTAGAAAACACACTTGAGAAATTGGAGTGTTGTGATATAGGGTCCCTCTCAGCCCTGGGAGGTATCACACTGAGCAGGCACATACAGAATTCCAATTTTTCAAAATCTCTTTTACTCAAAAAACCAATGGAACATTTAGAGAACAGTAACTTTGGGAACCCTAGGGGAGATGGTATCTTGGCAGCATCATGCCAGGATCAGGCAAGGAGATAGGAAGGTAGATGCCAAGACACTTCACCACAATACACAATTAAATTGGCCCCATTGTACTTGAGACAAACTGTGGCTTTCTCTACTTTTCTCTTTGGGAAGCCAGCAGTTTCGTCTGGGCTCTAGGAGTAAGCATATTCAACATGGACACATCCATCCACCAAAACCAAAATAGAACAAAAAAGGGCTTTCCTACTTCCCCCATCTATGATGTCCAAAGAGTATTTCCAGTTGGAAAGAATTCAACAACATGCACGCTGGCTCAGCACAGGGAGGAGGCCTTCTGGCTGACTTAAGCAATCTATGACTAATAATAACAGTTATTGAATGCTCACTAGATCGGTACCAGTTTCTAATTACTTTATAGGTATTAATTCATGTAATCTACCCAGGAACCTATAAAGCAGATACTATGTAGGAATCCTTATTTTACAGAAGGGGAAACTGAGGCATTGAGTTGTTCCTTAAGTTCACACAGTAGGTAAGTATAGAACCAGGATTTAAAATTTAGGAATTCTGGTCCAAAAGCCATCTTCTTTCTTAACCACTATGCTACAACACCTTTTCTGTATCAGAAATGGTCTCAACCCCGTTGTTTGTTTGTTTTTGTTTTTTTTTTTCTATTTACTTGTAGGCTATGTATAACCAGAGATACCCCAAGGCGGTATAATCTGTATGGTCTTTTTAAACCTTCATGACCAAGCCCAGAATTTCAGATTGACCGTATTATACAGATATAAAGTCTCCTTGCATTCTCTGTATATCTGCATCATTATGAAAAAGTCGTCCCTCTTATTCCTTCTGTTAAGATAAGACCTCTCTGAGTCATGGAATGGTGCAAACCATGACAAGAGTTCAGAGAGCCTGGAATAATAACTGGGCCTCTATGGGCTTCAGTTTCTTTATCATAAGGGTGTGGGACCAGATGAGCCGGGAGGTCCCTTTCAGTTTTGAAACCATAGGATTCCTATTTGACTTTCCATCTTTTACTCCATTCAAGTGCATCTTAAAAAAGAAAACCTCCAAATGATCTTTAAGCCAAAATAAACTGAAAACCAGGACTTGGCTTTGGGCACTGGATTCTTTCAAGTTTACTTTTCTCTAACAAATAACCAACCTTTTGGATATATCACATGGGGCTAAAAAGTCTAGAAATCTTTGTAAAGACATCTACCCACCTGAATCCTAAAGCCAGAGGAAGAACAAGGAAATGGGCAACAGACATAAAAGCATACAGTACAGACCAGATATGACATTAAACACATTCTGGAACTCAGCTTCCCTATCTGGGAAATGAAAAATCCAATGTGTATGTCTCCTCTTAACCTTACAGAGAGCTTGAAAGAATGAATAAGTGATTATTCAAGAAGCACTGAGGAATCTTGGGTGCCACAGAAAGTCAAAGTAACAGAATAATATTTATAAGAACAGGATGACAAAGTAGAAAGAACATTGACTTCTAGTCCAGGATCTTCCACTGACTATCTTAATGACCTTAGACAAATCCCCTGTACTTCCTGAGGTCCCAGTCACTCATCCAGAACAAAAAGGCTTATATAGCATATATGCAGTATAGTGCAATAGTTAAGACTGTGGATTTGAAGACTAGAATTCCTGGGTTTGGATCTTGGCTCTACCATTTGCTATCCATGTTACCTAAATTGCTTCATTTCTGTCTCCTTGTCTTCTTTTGTGAAAATGGGATAAAACCACATGCCTCATGGAATTTTAGTGAGGATTAAAGGAAATTATGCATTTCAAGGGCTGAGAATAATGCCTGGTACAGAGGCAAATGTTAGCAGTTGTTATGTTTTTGTTGTTATCATTGAACTTCAAGCTCTATGAGTGATTTCAAATATTGGCAGAAAAGCTAATTTTTTTTTTAAGATTTTATTTATTTATTTATTTATTTAATTTGACAGAGAGAGAGAGAGAGAGAGAGAGAGAGCGCGCAAAAACAAGCAGGGAGAGTGGCAGGCAGAGAGAGAAGGAGAAGCAGCCTTCCTGCTAAGTGAGGAGCCCGATGTGAGGCTCGATCCCAGGACCCTGGGATCATGACCCAAGATGAAGGCAGAGGCTTAACCAACTGAGCCACCCAGGCACCATGGCAGCAAAGCCAATTAAAAAAAAGTACCCTCTATTCCTGAGATAGTAAAAGGGACTCAGAAAGTCCTTTGTTCTCTGTGCTGCAGTGACATGAGTATAGGTACCTAATGCCTGCTGGGAATGCTGACTTTGTTTCTTATATCAGATTTACTAGCCAGGAAAGCAGATGCCACATCCCTCAGAAAACTCCATGTCCACAGAGGTACCTCAGCACCCATTCATTAATATATTTGACCCTTCATTTCACAGCATGTTTATTTTCCTTATAAGACAATGGAACAAAATTAAAAAACAACAACAACAACATGGACTTTGAAGAACTATAAATGGGTGTTTGAGCTCAGCCTTGCCACTGTGTGACTTTGGGAAACTCACTTAACATATTCAAGTCTCAGTCTCCTCACCGGTAAAGTAGGGGAGGGGGATTAAATGAGTGAATGTTGTTTAAGTGCCCAATATGTGGTAATTAAAATCATAGACACACCAAATCTTTAATTCTTGGGTTCTAGTCTCAGAATTCCCAAGTGTTATGGGGTAGGAAAATACATTTAAAAATAAATACATGGAGCACTGGGTGTGGTGCATAACAATGAATCCTGGAACACTGAAAAAATAAAATTAAAAAAATAAATAAATAAACACACACCAAATTTAGTACCTATCATGAGCCATGCATAGCACTAGATGGAAGATACATGAAGATAAACTGGCGAACCAAGAGAGACTGCGGACTCTGAGAAACAAACTGAGGGCTTTAGAGGAGAGGGGGGTGGGGAATGGGTGAGCCCAGTGATGGGTATTAAGGAGGGCATGTAGTGCATGGAGCACTGGGTGTTATATGCAAACAATGAATCATGGAACACTACATCAAAAACTAATGATGTACTGTAATAAAGATAAACTATTCCCAGCACATAATCTCAGGGCCAAATTGTAACTGTTTTGAGTCTGTGGGGATATTATTTGCATACAGCTTGCAAATTTAAGCTGAAGGGGAATCAGAATGAAACTGGACACAGAAAATTTTAATTTCTTTTAAGCATCTTAATGATACAGAGCGAGAGACAATAAAGGTTCATGAAAAAGAAGCCACACTCAACAGTCATTTTCTGCAGTATGTAGAAGTATAGTTCAATAGCCTGAAGCTGTTGGAAAAATGAGTGACAGCTGCATGGTTACCAGTAACAATGTTTATTATCACAACCATCTTTGGTCAGGACAATCCATTTTTAACAAAGAAATCATATGGATTAACAAACAGAAATTTCAAAAAACAATTACAAATGGGGAAAAGGACTTTTTACTTATTATCAGACTAAAAAAAAGCCCTCATCTCTTGTATAATCTTTATAATTCCAGCCATTGATAGTTTTGTTCATATGATATTATAATTAAACCTTTAAATGCCTTTCTAGGAATCTGACCATTTTGTTAAATTCTCTTCTACTATGCAGTACATAATACATAGAAATACTAGACAGAAATAATATATAGAAACATTTATTCACTGAATTTTGGATCAACCTCTCAACTGCATAATATGCTTTCCTCCAAAGTAACTCCAAATGTTCTCATTTTAAAATTTCAAGGTTAAATGCACCTGTGATAAAACTGCCCAGATCCAGAAAACAAAAAGAGGGTACTGGAGAGAAACAAATACAACAAAGTACAAAGTTTGAAAGCCTTAGCTGAAATCAGAAAGTTGATCATCCAACTATTTCCAGTTTACCTGAAAAGTAGGAGAAGTCTGTATCATGTTTGCACCAAGTGGGGGGAAAAGACTCCCCAGTATCACTATCACCCTCCATCCCTTCTATCTCCCCTTAAAAAGGTGTTCTAATTCACTTGTTCTTATATGTTATATTAGGAGATAAAAGAATGAGTTTTGCTGAATGGGAGAAGATACTTGCAAATGACATACTTGCAAATGGCATAAGGGGTTAGTATCCAAAATTAGAAAGAACTCCTCAAACTCAACAACTAAAAAACAAATAATCCAGTTAAAAAATGGGCAGAAGACATGAATAGACATTTTTCCAAAGAAGATATCCAGATGGCTAACACATGAAAAGATGCTCAACATCACTCATCATCAGGGAAATACAAATGAAAACTACAGTGAGATACCACCCCACACCTGTCAGAATGGCTAAAATTAACAATACAGGAAACAACATGTGTTGCCAAGGATGCAGAGAAAGGGGAACCCTCTTACACTGCTGGTGGGAATGTAAAGTAGTGCAGCCACTCTGGAAAACCATATGGAATTTCATCAAAAAGTTAAAAATAGATCTATCCTATGATCTAGCAATTATATTACTAGGTATTTACCCAAAAGATACAAAAATACTTATTTGAAGTAATACATGCACCCCAATATTTATAGCAGCATTATCAATAATAACCAAACTATGGAAAGATCCCAAGTGTCTATTGACTGATGAATGGATTAAAAAGATATGGTGTACACACACACACACTGCAATATTACCCAGCCAACAAAAAAAAAGAAACTTTGCCATTTGCAACAAAGTGGATCGAGCTAGAGAGTATTATGTTAAGTGAAGTAAGTCAGTCAGAGAAAGACAAATACCATATGATTTCCTTCATGTGGAATTCAAGAAACAAAACAGATGAACATGGAGGAAAAAGAGATGCAAAACAGGAAATAGACTCTTAACTCTAGAGAACAACCTGGGGCTGCTGGTGGGGAAGTTGGGGGGGGTGGGTTAATTGGGTGATGGGTATTAAGGAGGGCATTTGTGATAATGAGAACTGGATGTATATAAGTGATGAATCACTAAATTCTACTCCTGAAACTAATATCATACTATATGTTAACTAACTGGAATTTAAATATCTAAACTTGATACTACAAAAAAAAATGAGTTTTGTTATGTTGTCCTTATAGTGTTGCCGAACATTGACCATTGCATATCTGATAGCAAATTAAATCCTAGGAGTGATTTATTCTGCCTAGAGCAGGTGAGACAAAGCTGACTGAAGTTTCCAGTCAGCTCTGGGCCAGGTCTAAAAGGGACCCCTGTGAACAGCAGCCAGAAGAGCCAAGACAATAATGTCATGAATAGATTTGCTCATTTTCATCACAAGAGATGACAGAGGAAAATAAAAGTTCTACTCAGGCTTAGCACCTGGTACATGAGGACATTACCAGTTCATACTAGCACAGCTTACCTTTCATTAGTTTCTATATCAAAACAGAACCTTTTGTCGATAGACTCTGTCTTCCTCCTCACGCAGTACTTCAGGGTTAAGTCCAAAGGCCCCTGATATAAGAGAAGGATTAATAGCCAATTTGAAAAAAAAATGCACAGAAGCTTCTTCTGCCTCCTGTAGTAGCCTCAGTCAGTTGGAAGGCATCAGTCAGGGCAGCAGGAGCAATGTTTATCCTCACCAAGAACCTTGTCCCTTCAAACAGTATTTGCAGCAGATGGTTTCTTCTTGCTCCAGTAATTAAAGGTTGAGACCAGGACAAAATGCTATGGGTAGGTCAGTACTCTTTTTTAGCATGGTAGATTAAATAGGAAGCTCATTATACATAATATAAGGGGAATGTAGGACAAATGGGCTGACCAAATGGCATTAGGTGTACTGAATAAAATTTTCATAAAACCTGCAGGTTGGGAGTGACCTTATACAGCCTTCCTTCCATTAAACTGGCAGATGGAGGAGGGGAGAGAAACATTTTCATTCCCCACCTCCAGACTCTTTAGGAAGACAGAAATCACAAAAGCAATCTCTCCAAAGATAGGCAGAAGTACAGAAAATGAGCAAATTTATATATTACAAAGTTCCATTTGGTATTTCATATATGCAAAATAGCGTAGCCCACCTTAGTCTTATGGGCACTTAATAAGGCCATTGAAGTCTGCTGTGTCCACAGATTAAAATTTCCCAATCCCACATTGTTCAGTTTCCCTCTATTATCTCAACAGAGACAATGTGGTATAAGAAAGAGAAGAAACACTTATCAATTACCTACTATTTGCCACACATTATGCTAGGTATCTTTAAACCAACTTTCTTCATAACAACCCTTAGAAAGAAGTGAAGCTCAGAGAGGTAAAATGGCTTACCTAAAGTCACCCAAGTCAGTATAGTGGAAATAGTATTAAATTAGGAAGTTTAAAATTTGGGGTTTTGTCTCAGTTACACCATTTACTAGCTTACAACCCAGAGAAAATCATTTTCCTCTCTGAACCTTAACTTTACAATCTATTAAATGGGAAAAATGCTAACCACTTTGATGCCAGAAATTCAGAAATACTTCCCAAGTGTCAGTTCTGGGTCTAGGTACTATGCCATCCAAACTGGTCCATACAGTTGATCCAACTGATCAAACAATACTTTTTTATTTCATTTTTTTATTATGTTCAATTAGGCAATATATAATACATCATTAGTTTTTGATATTATGTTCGACAATTCATTAATTGCATATAATACTTATTTCTTATTGGTACACTCAACTCCCTTTCAGGCCTACCCTTTTGCTGCCCCTACACTATAAAAACTCAACTCTAAATTCATCCTTCAATCTGCCTTCTCTACCCTAACACTGAGGGTATCAAGAATTACAAGTCCTTCAGGATGACAGCAACTAACAGCATCATATACTCACCCTCCCCCTTTTAAACTCTCAACTCTCTCAGATTCAGAGGCATCATAGGTCTGTCTATTACTCCAGGTTACCCCTAGCCACCCCCATCTGTTTTATGCCCCATCCATGCAGAAGTGCTCTCATTTCACACATGTCATAACTCTCATGACTCCATAACTGCAAATAATGTTTCCTCCATCTTCAATGACTTTATCTATATTCTTGGTCTGGCTAAACTCATAATTGTTCTACATACTGCAGTTCAGCTTTAATTTCCTTCAAAATTCTTCTCCAATCCCATATACTGTTCACTATGTATTTTGCGCATTATATTAAAGCTTCCCATTTCTGTGCCTTATTTCCCCAATTGACTGAGAATTCAAGGGCATGGACAGCATCTTATTTATCTTTTTATCTCTAGGATCTAAGAAAGATTAGTGCCCAAGAAATTTTTATGAACTACAGTATCATTCTTGCCATTTTTCTGATGAGGAAAATGATACTGAGCAATATTACATAATTTACTTGGGGTCAAAAAGCTAATAGGTCACAGAGGTAGGATTTAAACCCAGTTGTTGAAAGTCAAAATATAGCACTCCTTCCTCTTACTACAACTGCCTGACAGGGAAATGATGGGGATCCTATAAAAGAGAATTTGGGAAGATAACCTGTAAAATGAGCAGCACAACACAAGTGGAAGTTGATAGGCTGAACTAGTAGGGAACACTGTTAAGTACCATAATCAGAAAGAGGGATCCGTCTTCAAACTGAACCACTAATATTTGACAGGCATACTGAGAAAGTAAATGAAGCGCTTGACGAAAAGTGTCTAACTCAGTGCCGGGCACACAGTAGATGTCAATAAATAGTGGATTTTATGGTGTTATTATAGTCTCACTTCCTTGTATTATTTACCTTTCTAAAACACAAACCAGGAATAGGAACTGAGAGAAATGACAAGAAGAAATCATTTCCAACTTCATTTTAGGGAAATTCAAGTTACTAATTTACCTTCCTTTCCTTCTAAATAGAGAACCAAGTTCCTCTTTCCACTCCATAAGGAATCCCATATTAAAACTGCTTAGGCTGACTATTGCAATTTTACAAGCAGCCACTCAATGAAAAGGGAAGAAGGAAAGAAAAACTAAAAGGAGAGCTTGGGCTCATCTCCTAGGAGGATATGAAAGTGGGATGACTGCTTCTGTCTTGAGCTTTTCAGTAGGTGCTTGAGCAGAAAAGAAAGGGCCTAATCAGCTTATTTTAAAGTCTGGGACTGGGAAAGAAATGTGTGTAGGAAAAGAAAAGGAAGAAACTACAGGACAGTGCTTATAAGCACTAGTCAATAAGATACATCAGCTAAGTACCAACAGAAATGGAAAAAAATGCTGTCATAGAGCCCAAGATAAATTTAATGAAACCACTTGGAAGTTACTTTGGCAATTAACAGACTAGAAACTAAGAAGAGTTTTGGAGTCAGGAATGAGTAACTGGCCCATATAGAAGCATGGATGAGGGTTCTGGAAACCCCATTTGGTATACTTCATTAGAGGTGCATTCCATCTCCAATACCCATTCAAAGCTGAATGACAAAATTCTGGGTTCAAGACAAAAAAGGCAATTTTTCTATAGCTTGACACCAAATCTCAGTCCTCTCCAATTTTCTGTGAAAAAGTCACACAAGAGAGATCTTCTAGGGAAAGCACCAGCAAAGGAGACAAAATGGCCCAATTTTTCTCCAAATTTCTGCCTACCGAAATTAGGTCTTTTCACGCCACCAAGGTTCAGTGCTAACAAATGAACCTTGTTTGACTTTGTAAACAATTTATAAAGAATAGAAATCCTTAAAAATAATGCCTTACAACGCAGTCTAAGAGACAGTTTAAAGGGACCCACTACTTTTAGAATATGAATATTCTATCAGCTTTTATCTTAATAAACCCTTGAGAGACAGAATTTCCAAAGCCTCTACAAAGATAGGCAAAAGTGAAATGACAGAGTAAGCTTTTTGGCTGTGTTGTCATATATATAATATACTATAGCATAGTACAGTAAGTATAGTAAAGTATGTAATATATAAGATTAGGTTCTTCCAGGTAAGAAACTATCTTCTTAGTGTGTTAAACTCATCTTCACATTTTAGGGGATGGGGAAGGCTTGAAGGACAGAAGAAGAAGCATTACCTGCTTAAATATATCTGAAAATTACATAGAATAGGGGGTACAGATTATTCTAACTTCAGGAAACAGACATACTTCTCTAAAAACCAAGGAATTTCGGAAAATGATATTTTAAACACTTGCTGTTTAAAGGAATCCTAAGAATCCTAAGAAGTAGAGACTTCTTAAAAGCAAGTAACACTATCCTCTTGCAATTCATCTATATTCTTGCAAATTTTCTTGTACAATGTGACAAGCACTTGTAATAATTTAATAAATGACCTGAAAAAGTACAGGCATTTTCAGAAGGCTTGACATAATTAACGGAAATATTTCACTCAACTGAGTAGTAGCTGGCCCAATGCAAATTTGTGTCAAGAGGAACATACAAAGTCATGGCTTCACATAACCATGATGGACTTGATTCTTTGAAACTAAGTCAAGATATACTCTTTTCTAAGATACAGTCAGAGATGCGTTTCAAAAAATATGGCACACAAAAGAACTGACCTGTTTAGCACCTGGCTTCTGCTCCATAGGTGTCATGGTGAGCATTTTGGTCTCCTTCTCATACTGGCAGTAATATTTCACCCAGGATATTCCCAAAGCCCCTACAATGATAGGCAAAAGTGAGCTGACAGACTATATCCATTTGGCTGTCTGGTCAATACACTCCTAAGATGGAAGTGGTATAGCCTGCTCTTCATAATCACAGGGCTTTAGATCTAGCTCTAATCTTCCCCTGAACTCTAACCCTGTGGGCTCTCGATGCACAGCACATATAGAGATCCTAATCCTTATCAAATGCTTTCCATATCTGCTCTAGCTTACTCCAAATAACTCTTCTTGCCATGTCTCTTCTAAACGCTTCTGCTGTTCATCCTATTTTATGAGTTGGAAACATCTGTAATCTTCTCCTTCTTCTTCCCTGTAACTTGTCCCTTTTGTCTGGTGGTTGGGAACTGCTCATTCTTTTTCCCACATGTCGCTCCTTCAGCTGCTTCCTCTCTGCATCCCTTCTAGAATTGAATTAGTTCAGGACCCTATTGCTGAATTACTTATAATGTTTTATGATGTACTTCAAACAAAATAAAAATTCAACATTTCACTAATTAATTATGACAGTGACCTTCTCTCTGATTGCTCCCATCTCTGATCACTACTCTCCAGTCCATTCTCTATTCTTTAGCTAAAGGAATATTTTTTAAATACTGATGTCTATTATTTCATCTTTCCTATAAATCTTGCATGGCTTTCCCACTGTCTCTAAACTCATGTTGGCCCATAAGACCCTTCCTAATATGACATTTACCTTTCCTACTTTGTCTTTTGCCACCCTCTATGGTCCTGTCTCATTGAATTACTTTCAGTTACCAAATAAACAGGTGACCATATATTTTTAGTCCAAATTCAATACATACTTAAGAGTGAATGGGTCACTATTAATAATTACATCAGGATGGAAAGTGTATACCAGGGCTATTCTTTGCAAACTATGACCCTGAAAATTAACTACATCCTCATACACCTTTGTGCCTGAGTAACATGCAATGGTATATACCTGAAATCCACCCCCCTTTTTTTGTCTATCAAACTTCCACTCATAATTCAATTCCTAATTTAAACATTGCTTCCTCAATGAAGCCCTTAGATATATGCCCCAAATGCAGTGCTCAACACATTTCCTTATAATTCTTGATATAGTTGTCTGTTTTCCTCATCAGACTATGAACTTCTTGAAGGTTACTAACAGACCATAATAAAAGAATAACAAAAAAATAAAAATAAATAAAAATAATGTTGGATTTGAAAAAAAATAAGATTGGTTCATATTTTTAAAATCCTCAATGCACTACATATCGTCAGGCAAAAAGGATGTTCGGTAAACATTCAACTGAATAGCAACATCATATCCATTTGACACATTAGAAAACTGGGGCACAGAAGCACCATGTAGCTAGTTGATATTAGAGCCAAGATTAGAAAATCATTATTCCCACATCATTTATAATATAGCAGTAGTTTTCAACCAAGGGCAATTTTGCCAAAGAGATATTTGGCAATGTCTGGAGACATTTTAGGTTGTCATACCTATGGAATGCTATTAGAATAAAGTGAGGACAGGTCACAGATGCTGCTAAATATCTTATAATGTATATGACCCCCCTCTCAGAACAAAGAACTACCCAGCCCAAAATGTCAATTGCACTGAGACTGAGAAATTCTGCAATGCAGAGTTGTAGAGATAAACCCAAGAGGTTAAAGAATATATGTTTGAAAACCACCAGAAGTTAATTTCTCTTAGAGAAGAAAAGATGATACTATCACTGCTTGAATGCCATGCTTTGTGAATTGCAGTAGTTTTTGTCACTGGTAACAAGTAAATAGCCTCCTTTGCCTCTTCTCAGGTATAATAAGTCTGGGCAGGGCTGAAATCACAGGCTTTGGAACCATTGGGTCATAGTTCGTAAGGAAAATCAAAGAGCACACACAAGTTTTCATAAAGTAATTTAGGAAGTAGGAAGGCTTAAATCCTCTGCAATATTCAGTGAATGGAGAAGTTAATCCATGGGCCTTGGTTAGCAATGAACAACTGTCCTGCCCACTGAAAGCACAATGATTGTTGTTTAGTGCTTTAAGAGCAACCACGTATTCCTAAGGCAGTGGAAGGTATAGGGTATAGTGATAGGAGGATAGGTTTTGGCATTTCATAGAACTGAGTTTACTCAGGCTTGCTACTTGATAGCTGGGTAACTTTGTTGTTGTTGTTGTTGTTTTAAATTATGTTCAATTTGCCAACATATCGTTGGGTAACTTTCAACTAGTGATCTCTATAAGCCTCAGTGGCCTCAAGTAAAATGGTATGATAAGTGATTTTAAAGATTAAATGAGATAGTATATTTAATGCACTTTGCACCATGCCTGGTACATAGTAGGTGTAATAAATATTATTTTTCTGCCTCCTTTCCCCTACCTCCTTTTTCCCCCTAGTCATAGTCATCAGAAGGATTAAATAATTAACAATCCCCACTTTGGATCACGGAGAAAAAATCATCCCGAAGTCTTCAGAAAACAAATCCTTAACTACTACCCCTCCAATTTCTCCTTCCTTTTCTTTTTTTTTCTCTGTTCCCAGACTGTTCTCCAAAGAGTTGTCAGGGGTCTGTGAACAATATGGGTACGTGGAGTTTGGAGATGCCAAGTGGCAGTAGGTGCTAGCCTACTGAAACCCAGTGTGTATCCCTGTATTCCCACACACATTTCTCTTGTGTATAGAGATAGCCTTCAATGGTAGGCTGTCCTGGAAGTTTGCATGTCTGGGGAGCTTCTTTCATCCTTTTCTTAAGTTCTTCCATCTCTTCTCGGGTACTGGAGAAATGATTTCTTGTCTGTGAAGACATTATCATCATAATTATTCTCATTATCACCATGATTATTAAAAAGCACTTATTGATTATAGATCCAGTGCAGAGTTTTCTTGGTTTGCATATATGCTACAATATAGCAAAAACAACAACAAAAATGTTGAATAGCATCGTGACTAGAAAACAATTTTACGAGATTGACAGAGCCAAAGACTAAAAGGGAAACAGAAACATAAATAGCAATATAACCATAAAAATACATCTGGGAGACTTTATTCTAATGGGAATCACATAAGCCAATAAATAAACGTTCTTAGAATTCTAAGCGCCAGACTGAACTCTGCTTTACAAGATAGGAAACTGTAAAAGTTTTCAAAGGTAATATTATCATGGCAACTTCTAAGCTCTGCCTCAATTAAAGTTACTGCCTACTTGACTCTGAATCAAATTCTGGCTTATTAGGATAAAATACATGACAAGGTGCTATCTTTGAAGATATGTCAATAGAAAAGTTATGTTTTCATATTCATGAATAACAAAAACTAATGGTAAGAAGAAATCTATTTAAAACTGTACAACTAAAACACAATAGCAAAACACTGCTTAAAATGTGGGTATGAAAATCACTAGAGATAGGTTCTTAATGTCCAGTCTCAAGATTGTTACATCAGTCACAAAGGTGATCTGAGCTATCTATCTTGTTAGGCCCACAATATTTATTATCTTGTGAATGAGTTCATCATATACACAGATACAAAACATTGTTATTAAACTCATACTTTTCAAGTTCTATTTGGAGGAAGATTCAAATGATTAACCTGGTTATAGGAAGATTTTAAAAATCCATAGAAGTCAGGGGCTCTCACATTCTGGTGAAGGTGAGTACCCAAAAAGAAAGAAACTAAACAACTGTAAGTCAGGATCCTCCTAAACAACCAGGTGAAGTTTATTTCCACTGACAACCTTATTAGCAACTTTTTCATATAAAAATACTCTACAAATTTCATGTAATGTAACAACTAGTCCAAAGTCACTATCTCAGTGATGCCTTCTCTAACTGTGTCGGGCAGTCAAATGTTCCACTTTCTGTGCTTCCTTAAAATTTCTGGTCTTGATGCTATTGAAACACTTATCACAAGGAATTATGGTGTGTTACAGTGTTTATGTCTCTTTCCTGCAAGAGACTGTATGTTCCCTGAGGACAGAAAACCTAACATACTTCATTATGGTATGTCCATGCCTGGCACAGAGTATATGTTATATCCATAGCCATTCACTGAATAGTGGGTTAAATAAGCAAGTGAGAAAAAATATATATGTTACAAAGATGGGAAGGTTATGCCTATGGCCATCTATAAGAACCAGCATGGGAAAGAAGGTGAATAAAACCTTTATATATAATTTAATTCTAGTGATTAGTGAGAAAAGGAAGAGAGGGGAAAGTGGGCATTCATGTCATAAAACTCACAAGTGCCTTGACCGACCAACATGGAAGTAGCATAAAATTTGTGCTTACATGGAGGACATGGGGAGTTAGGAGAAGGGAGTTGGGGGAAATTGGAAGGGGAGGTGAACAATGAGAGACTATGGACTCTGAAAAACAATCTGAAAGGTTTGAAGAGGTGGGGGGGTGGGAGGTTGGGGGAACCAGGTGGTGAGTATTAGAGAGGGCACGGATTGCATGGAGCACTGGGTGTGGTACAAAAACAATGAATACTGTTATGCTGAAAATAAATTTAAAAAAATGTTTAAAAAAAAGACAATAACAATAAATAATAATAACAATTAAAAAAATTTGTGCTTAAGCCCATAGTTGGGTTCTGATCTGAGAGGGATGCAGTAAATTAGCAACATTTAATGTTTACTGGATAGATAGAAGTGTCAGAGGGTGGAAGGGTAGGTTTGAACAACAATAAGCCTCAAAGACTGGTAAGAGTTGAAACTGGAAGAGAAAGCACACTAAAATAATTATGACCCACATTAGTATGTCCTAACAAATTGGCTAGAATGCAATAAGCTGGGATTTCAAGATCAAGGTCATTGTGGCTGAGATCCAACTGGAACAGGTGAAGAAACCCACATGCAAACTCACATTCTGCAAACTGAGCTGGAGCTGCTGTTTGTATGGGAGGAAATCCTGCGTGAGCTCCACAGTTAAGTTGTTGGAAATGAAGAGACTATGAAGAAAGGCCAAAACCTAGGGAAAATGTATAAAAATAACTTCATCATCTGTACCTTCTCATTACTGAATAAAGGAAAAAGAAACTTGGAAAAGAAACTCCATATACCAAGTATAGTGTTAAAAGTAATCATGAAAACACAAGCAGGTCTACACATAGCTATTCTCTTATTAAATATTTACGTTGGACTTAGTTCCAGAAAATAAGAACTACTAACAAATGTAGTCATTCAAATCCTTTCCAGATAGCATATAAAACCATTCATAGTTTGGACCATATGGAATAGACTGTGCATTTTCTCTCTATATCCTCAGAATTGGCAGAGAATAGGTGATCAATATTTGTTGGGCAAATAAATAAGTGAATAAATGAGTAAAGTAGGTTCTGTACCTTAATGAAGAATGTCCTAATGCTAAAAGATTCAAATAGTATGAAACCATTTTCAAATTAAAAATATTTCAGAGGGGTTTAAGAATAAGACATAAAAGAACTAATAATTTTTTTAATGTTCCAAATATTCAAATTCATTAATAAATATACAGAAAAACAATGAAAATATGATTTCATCTATGAAATACAAACCTTTAAACAATAATGCTCACTTCTGGCAATAGTAAAGTATAATAATAGGAAGTAGTAATAATTTCTCTATTCTTTTTAGAAAATAAGTGGATAGGTATATGTAAATATGCACACAGATACACAATATGCATATACATATGCATATATTATAAATATTTATATTTATATATAAATATATATAATATATATTATATATAAACATATAAACACAAATTATGTATACACAAAAACATAACAACAGTACATATATACACACATGTACATATATATATTTATTTATATATAAATGTAAATGGGTTTGTGTACTACATACATTGTCATATACACAATCTTTCTGTTTCTCTTCCAAGCTTTCTCATCTCAGGAAATGACCCTACCATTTACTCAGTCAAGCCAGAAAGTAAAGAATCATCCTTGATTTCTTTTCCACTCATATCTCAATCCAAATTCTGTCAGTTTTGCCACCAAAATATATCTCTAATCCAGCCATTCTTTTCTGTTTCCACTTTCAGCACCCTAACCCAAACCAACCTCTTTTCTTGCCTAGACTGCTGTAGTAGCCTCCTAATTGGATTCCTTGCTTCCTCTGTTGGTTTCTTCCAAGCCATTCTCCACACAACAAAATCAGCTTAAGTCATATCCTGATTAAAACTTATATCCGTGGTTTTCCACTACACTTAGACTACTATCCAAACTCCTTACCATGATTACAAGTCCTATGCCTTCCTATCCTACATTATTTCCTGCCAGTCTCCTTTTCTATCACCTATATCTAAAGGCACTAACATTTTCATTCCTCAAACACACCATTCTTTCCTAACTTGAGGACCATGCACATGTGTTTTTTTCTGTGTCTTTAATATTATTTCCCCATTATGCATGTGGCTACATCCTCTCTTTCTTTAGAACTTATCTTAAGTGATACTTTCAGACTTCCTCCTTGACCACTTAATCTAAAGTAGTTGCCCATTCTTGTTATTTGTTTTAGCCCTTATTATAACTTACAATTAGTTTTATTTATATATATCCTTCTTTCCCTTCTGTCTACCCAATAAGAGTGTAGTCTTTATAAAGACAGAAACAGAGTTTGTCTTACTCACTATAAGATACCCAGTGTTTAGCACAGTGCCTGACATATAACAGAAGCTCAATTATTTTTTGTATAAATGAATAAACACTTGGTTGCACACAGATATACATATAAATATATACATAAGGGAAGACAAATACACATTTAGATGTACATTGATATACATGTTCATGTGAAAAATATATATATGTGTAAACAGACCTGCACACATGTGTACATACATCCACATCTAAAGTACAAAGACAGACATATATAGAGAGAGAAATATAACAAATACAGAAAATTTGGAAAGAAAATGCCAAAATATCAACAGTGATTATCTCTGTATTGGAATTTGTTATTTGTTTTTTCCTATAATTTTTCTATATTTTCTTTACTAAGAATTAAAATTCAACAGAGTTGTCATATCAAAGCACACCGTTTTTATAGTCAAGGAGATGTAAGGAGAAAATAAAGAAGATAGAAGTAAAAATAGTACAATAGGAAGTCATTAAGTGCAAGGGAAATGGGCTCCTAGCAAATTGACAGGCATATTACAGGCACTTCAAAAGTTTTATGAAAGCATGAGAGCAAGGAAGGGAAGAGAAAAAAAAAAAAAAAAGAAAAGGTGTCAGAGAAATCAAAGGAGGGAGAAAAGGAGAAAGGAAGCAAAAAAGAGAAGGAAAGAAAAATCATAGCTGAAGGGACAGAAAATGGGAGAGGAAAAAAAGGCAGGGGAGGAGAGGTAAAGAAGAGAGAGAAAATATTGTTAGTAAGAGAGCAAGAGCAACCCAAGCTACTGTGTTTATTTTCTTGACATTCATTATTAAGCATTAAATATCCTTCAGCATCTTTGAAATCTCAATTTTATGGTCAAAGTTCTCCATATTTACCTGGTATATGGTAAATATTTTTAGACTATTCATCAACAGATAGAACTTACTGGCTCCACAATGTTGAACTTCTTGGACTCCTGAACTTCCTGGATTTGATAAACATAATCAAGGGAAGACTCAAAGAAATTCTGCCTCTCCTTGTCCACCTGGAGGTCTGCCTGTAATGAAGAGTAGCAAATGTCACATAACAGCACAGTCACTTTTGCAAGTCACTGCTTATGGTCTCAATAGAATGCTAGAGCTAGGGGAGAATTTAGCCACCAAGTAATGATCTTATTCTTTTATTTTACAGACAGAGAATTATAAACCAAGAAGTAAACAGTGATCATTGTGAAATTTCTGGTTTCTGGTCCAACAATTAAAAATCTTGAAAGTTACCTCACCCATCCTCACAAGAAAAATGATGAACAAATTGAAAATGAATAATTCCCCTTAGAAACAACAGAGAAGTGAAGTCAGAAGGAAAACAGATGCCTCAAATATTAGATAGACAGTTGAAAATAGAGAATCAGAGATTACCAGAGCAGAAGCACAGAAGCAGAAATCAGACTATCAGTTATTTAAGAATAATTCTCAGGGTGCTTAGGTGGCTCAGTCAGTTAAGTGTCTGACCCTTGCTTTCGGCTCAGGTCATGATCTCAGGATCATGAGACTGAGCCCCACATCCGAATCCAAGCTCAGCAGAGAGTCTGCTTGAGATTCTCTCCCTCTACTCCTCTCTGCCCCCCAAATTCACTCCCTCTTCCACTCTCTCTCAAATAAATAAATATTTTTTTTTTAAGAAAAAAGAATACCTCTCTAAGGAAAGCCAAAGACAACAGGGAAAACTGAAAAAAAAAATACCAGAGGAAACTTTGGCCTCAGAACAATAGTTAGAAAAAAATAAGCATAGCCTAAAAGCAAAATAAGCCCAGCCTAACTCCTAGTAATGTAAACATAAAGCCTCATACTACAGGCCTATTTATTTCAGTTCCTTTTACCTGAAACATCATGCCTGGCTTTCAACAAAGTAGTACAAGGCATTCAAAAGGACAACAACAACATGAACAAAAACCAGTTGAAGTTGAAGAACAAACATCAAGGGGCGCCTGGGTGGCTCAGTGAGTTGGGCCTCTGCCTTCGGCTCAGGTCTTGATCTCAGGGTCCTGGGATCAAGCCCCACACCGGGCTATCTGCTCAGCAGGCAGCCTGCTTCCCCCCTCTCTCTCTGCCTAGCTTTCTGCGTACTTGTGATCTCTCTCTCTCTCTCTGTCAAATAAATGAATAAAATCTTTAGAAAAAAAGAACAAACATCAAAACCAAACTTAGATAAGGTAAAGATAGTGGATAGTGGAACTATTACACCAGAAATTACAGCAAAGGCTTTAATTGAAAAAGAGGAAAACACACAAGAACACGTGAATAATATATGTGGATATATGCAAAATTGAAGTATTAATCAAAAGGAAATGCTAGAAATCAAAAACAATAGCAGAAATGAAGAATGCCTTGAATGGGCTTATCTACACACTAAAAAAGACTACAGAAAAAAATCAGTGAACCTGAGGTATGTTTAATAGAAACTTCAAAAACCGAAATGCAAAAAGAAAAAAGAATTAAAAAGACAGAGTGAAATATTTATGAAGTGTTGGACAATTATAAAAGGTATAAGATATATAAAGGAGAAAAAAGATGGAATATAAGAAATACTTAAGGTGATGAGTGAAAATTTTCCAAAATTAGACAGGTACCAAACAAAATATTGAGAAAGCTCAGAAAACAACAGCAGTATAAATACAAAAAAAAAAAAACTACATGTAGTCATATCATATTCAAACAACACAAATTTTAAGACACAGAGAAAATCTTGAAGAAAGAAGAAGAAACGCCTTATCTAAAGAAGGGTAAAAATAGAATTTCTCTCAAGAGACCATGCCAAAAGAAGAGAGTAGAGTGAGATATTTTAGATACTGAAAGAAAAATCACAAATTTAGAATTTTGTATCCAGTGACATTATATTTCAAAAGTGAAGAAGAATTAAGGATTTTCTCAAACAAACAAAATTTGGAGGAATGTGTTGCTAGTAAAATTGTAACCCAAGAAATATAATAAGAACTTCTTCAAGAAGAGTGAAAACAATCTAAGTGAGAAATGCATACCAACATAAAGAAAAGAAGAGCGGGGAGGAGTCAAGATGGCAGAGAAGTAGCAGGCTGAGACAACATCAGGTAGCAGGAGATCAGCTAGATAACTTATCAAACCATTCCAAACACCCAAAAATCCAACAGGAGATCAAAGAGAAGAAGAGCAGTAATTCTAGAAACAGAAAATCGACCACTTTCTGAAAGGTAGGACCGGAGGAGAAGTGAATCCAAAGCGACAGGAAGATAGACCGTGGGGGGAATGGCCGACTCCCAGCAAGCAGCAGAGCAATGGAGCACAAAATCAGAACTTTTAAAAGTCTGCTCCACTGAGGGACATCGCTCCAGAGACTAAACTGGGGTGAAGCCCACATGGGGACAACATGGTTTCAGATCCCACGGGGTCACAGAAGGATGGGGGTGTCTGAGTGTCACAGAGCTCACAGGTATTAGAGCAGGGAAGCTGGCTACAGAGATGGAGCTGAGGAGTGAACTCTCAACTCAGGGATACCTTAAATTGTGATCTGTGGCAAAGGCCACTGCTCTGTAAGTGGGGACCCCACGAGATCTGGGGAGACACCCCTGGAAGAGCACAGGGATCGGCTGGGTTTGGAGATGCCAGGCGGGGCTGTGTGCCAGAGACAGAGATGCTTGATCACAGGCTCGGTGAGCTCAGAGCGCAGCCGGAGGCCAGGGAGACGGGAGTGATTGAGCACTTTTCTCCAAAGACACAATGACGAGTGGGGCCCCAAGCTCTCAGCTCCTCCGGGCTAAAGACTGGGAGGCCGCCATTTTCGTTCCTGCCCTCTGGAACTCTACAGAAAGTATTCAGGGAACAAAATTTCCTGAAAGCAAACCCGAGTGGATAACTTAGCCTGGCCCCTGGTAAGGGCGGTGCAATTTCACCTTGGGCAAAGGCATTTAAGAATCACTGCAACAGGCCCCTCCCCAAGAAGATCATCAAGAAATCCAGCCATGACCAAGTTCACTTACCAAGGAGAACAGTGGAATTCCAGAGGAAGAGAAAGCAAAGCATGGAATTCATGGCTTTACCCCAAGATTCTTTAGCCTTACAAAGTTAATTAATTTTTTTTTTATTTTATTTTTTTCTTCTGCTAATTTTTTTTAACTTTTACCCTTTCCTCTTTTAACATTTTTAACTAGTTTATCTTAACAATACCTTTCAAAAAAATCTTTTTTGGAACTTCATTATTATAGTCATATTTTATCCTTCATACTATCTAACTTTATTTTTTGTATACACATAGGGTTTTTTCGTCTAAAAAATTTTGGGATACAACTTCTTCTAATAGATCAAAATATAACCTAAATCTAGCAAAGGGCCTTGTTCTAGTCTCCAGACTGAGGAAATTCTCTCCACTTTCTTTTTCTTTATTTTACCAAACAACTTATCAATTCCTTTTTTTGAATTTTTTTTAAAAACAGTTTTTCATCTTTATACTCATATTCCATCCCTTCATTGTGTTTACCATTATATATGTTTTTCATTCTTTAAAATTTTGGGAGGTAGTTTCTTCTAAAAGATCAAAATACTCCCAAAATTAAGTGGGTGACCCTGTTCTATCCACCAATATAATATATATTTTTTTTTTCTTTTTTAGATTTTTTCTTTATTTTTTTCGTTTTTTTTTTCTGAACTTCTTTTTACCCCCTTACTTGCCCCGCCCCCCCAGGATTTGGGGTCTCTTCTGATTTGGATAAAGCACATTTTATGGAGTTCTTTGCCACCCTTTTAGTATTTTATTCTCTCCTTCATACATTCTTACCTGGATAAAATGACAAGACTGAAAAACTCACCACAAAAAAAAAAAAAAAAAAGAATGAGAGGCAGTACCAAAGGCCAGGGACCTAATCAATATGGACATTGATAATATGTCAGATCTAGAGTTCAGAATGATGATTCTCAAGGTGCTTGCGTGCCTCGAAAAAGGCACGGAAGATATTAGAGAAACCTGTCTGGAGAAATAAAAGCCCTTTCTGGAGAAATAAAAGAACTAAAATCTAACCAAGTTGAAATTAAAAAAGCTATTTATGAGGTGCACTCAAAAATGGAGGATCTTATTGCTAGGATAAATGAGGCAGAAGAGAGAATTAGTGATATAGAAGACCAAATGACAGAGAATAAAGAAGCTGAACAAAAGAGAGACAAACAACTACTAGACCACAAGGGGAGAACTTGAGAAATAAGTGATACCATAAGACAAAACAATATTAGAATAATTGGGATTACAAGAGAAGAAGAAAGAGAGAGGGGGGCAGGAGGTATATTGGAGTGAATTATTGTAGAGAATTTCCCTAAAATGGCAAAGGGAACAAGCATCAAAATCCAGGAGGCTCAGAGAGTCCCCCTCAAAATCAATAAGAATAGGTCCACAACCCATCATCTAATAGTAAAATTTACAAGACTTAGTGACGAAGAGAAAATCCGGAAAGCAGCCCAGGATATGAAGTCTGTAGTGGTAAAAATATTAGACTTATTAGACTGGCAGCAGACTTATCCACAAAGACCTGGGAGGCCAGAAAGAACTGGCATAATATATTCAGAGCATTAAATTAGAAAAACATGCAGCCAAGAATACTATATCCAGCTAGGTTATCATTGAAAATAGAAGGAGTGATAAAAAGCTTCTAGGACAAACAAAAACTGAAAGAGTTTTTAAACACCAAACCAGCTCTGCAAGAAATACTGAAAGGGGTCCTCTAAGCAAAGAAAGAGCCTAAAAGTAGTAGACGAGAAAGGAACAGACAATATACATTAATAGTCACCTTACAGGCAATACAATAGCACTAAATTCATATCTCTCAATAGTTACCCTGAATGTAAATGGGCCAAATGCCCCAATCAAAAGACATAGGGTATCAGAATGGATAAGAAACCAAACCCATCAATATGCTGTCTACAAGAAACTCATTTTAAACCCAAGGATACCTCCAGATTTAAAGTGAGAGGTGGAAAACAATTCACCATGCTAATGGACATCAAAAGAAAGCTGGGGTGCCGATCCTTATATCAGATC